GAACTAAGAATGAGTGACGACGCGATTTAACAGTTTCGAATGGGTTCGTTTGACAGTTTCCGTTTGGCAGTCCCTTAATTATCTACATGAAAGAAGGATGGACCATTTATGTTAAGTCTTTACATCGCACCTTTAGAACGAAAGTGACCCAATCAAATTCCACCTTTTTGGGAGTACGCATTACCTAAGTTTAAAGTGTGGCATTTTCACATTATATAATTTATTATTTTTGAAGTAGGTACTAAAGGCAAAAAATAATAATATTGAAATCACCCATATAAAGAGTCCGTGGCTTTCGAGTCTTGATGAGAACCCATTTGGTATTTTCTTGCTATCTCTCTATATGAATTCAAAATGATCTTTGTCTTTCATAATGTTCTTCAACACACTTACAATTAATCATAGACTATTTAAACATATGTTCTGTGGTATATATAGTGAAACCTATAAATTAAATTAATAAATTCCTTTATATTTCCTTATCCTAGATTTCTATTGTTTTATCGTGGTACACTACGCCACGCTTAACTTGCCAGGCCGCGGTTGGCAATCGCAGAAACAAAATACTTAAGGTTTTTCTAATGAGTTAACGGGCGGGACACGTTTCCTCGTGACGAAAAGGACTTGAAATTAGTATCTGTTGAAACTTTAACAACTCCTCACCATATATTATAATCTGTAAATTATATATACTTCGACAGTGTTACTTTTCAGAGAGACGCATAATAAACTGCGAAAATTGTTGCGATAGGAAAAAATGTTTCACCATAGACGACTAAGCTGCGTTAATAAATTAAAAACATACTATAATTGGACAATACCGGAAAAATTTTTTTCTTTTCTAATGATTTGATTTATTGGGCATATTGTAATCATATATTTAAAAGCGAATTGTGTAATCAATTTTTTTGGCCCGCGGTATCATCGTCGTTTGAACGATCCATCTGCAATTTTTTTTTTTTTTAATATATAATAGACACACGCTTGGCCACAATCTCACCTGATGTTAAGCGACGATGTGACCGACGATGGGACGCGTTTGCCTAAAAAATGCCTATTCACTCTAGCCTTGAATAGCCCCAAATTGTACTTTTCGGGAAATACAGATGCCGGTAGCGCATTCCATTCCTTTGCCGTACGCATCAGAAAGGAGGAGGCAAAGCGCTTAGTGCGAATAGGTGGAATATCAACGACATAAGAATGGAGTGCTCCGGACCTTCTAGTCGACCGAAGGAGGAACGGTGAGGGCGGAACCAAATTGAAAAGTTCCTGCGCACACTCCCCGAAATGTATCCGATAGAAAACCGACAAGCAAGCTACTTTTCTGCGATGATCGAGATTTTGGAGCTTCGACTCCACAAGAGGATTATTGTTAATAAGTCTCTTTGCTTTACGCTCCACCGAGTCCGAGGCAGCTAACTGGTATTGGGCAGAGCCGTCCCAAAGGTGGCAGCAGTACTCCATACAGGATCGAACTTGTGCTTTATACAGATTTAAAAGCTGTTCAGGTGTGAAGTACCGCCTGACCTTGAAAAGTATGCCCAGTTTTCTGGCAGCAGTTTTTGCCAAGCACTCGATGTATCGCCCAAAGTTGAGGTTGGATGATAAGTCCAGACCAAGTAGCTCAAGGTGGTCCCTTATCGGCACGGATACACCTCGGAAAGTCGGAGTAAGGTGTAGGGGACTCCGTTTTGATGAGAAAAGACACGCCTGTGTTTTAGCCGCATTAAACCTGACCCTGTTAGCATCTCCCCAGTTGGAAGCAGCTTTCAGACTCAGGTTCAACCGGGTGACCATCAAATGACAACTTTTTAGGTTTAAAGATTCTACGAATAAAATTAGTCGACAACTTTATAGCAGAGTTACAAAATTTCACATATACCTACATAAATTGTTTCATGTACTTAGTATTTATTATTTTTGTGACCTTTATATGACAAAATTATGACTGTTGACTGAGAAAAGCACTTTTGACAATTATGAACACATTATGGCTTGATCCTTCTTATGGTCGTATTCCAGAACTCTACTCAGTGCTCAAGTCATGACTTGAGTATGATTTGAAGCACTGGAAATCATACTCAAGTCCTTGACATTGGGGTCGTATTTCCAGTGCTTGAAATCATACTCCAGTGCTTACTTGAGCATTGAGTAGAGTTCTGGAATACGACCCTATGGTGGTTACGCATGGCAACGTTTATCAGTGATGCAAACGCACGTTCGTGCAACGCGCGATTGCATCGCTACAATTGCGATTTATACGCGATTTTATATCGATGCAGTCGCGCGTTAGCATGCCTGCTAAAAGTCATCGTGTGTGTAACCGCTCTAAGGCCGAAACATATACTTCAAAATGTATGTAATGTGAAGTGATTCAAACACAGACAATATTATTCCTATGACCTCGTAAACCCCTAGTGTACATTATAATGAAAATATCGCATTCAAATTCAGCGCTACATACGACAAAACCCCCTTTTTACTCTTCAAGCGCAATATCGGGCAACTAAAGCTTAAAATATAATTTGTATACCATTTTTTAGCTATAAAGTAAAAATACAATCATAGATTATCATATAATTATTTCTAATAATTCTGTTTTTTGTGCCTACTCAACAGTGCCCATTAATAGCGGTTACGAGGTTTTACGCATATTCTATATGTGTATAGGGTATGTAGTAAAACACATTTTTCATACAAAACTGAGGGCCGAAGCCTGAATTTTAATAATCGTACTTTTCTTTATATCATTTTATTTATTACATCCTTTACGTTCCCTCTTTTAATATTTCTTATAATAAATCTTGTGCATCAAGTTTTATGCATTCTCGTTTACCTAAGACTAGGCTATACTTTTATTATTTCCACTAACTACATACCTAATATAAAGACGCGTGCATAACAATACATAACTCCACAAATTGTCAGTCTTTTACCAGCGAGTCAACTGAACTAAGTGAGTCCAAATCAAAAGTTCGACACCCGCTGTGCATTTGACGTTAACGACTTTGATACAAAGTTACAAATACGGTCGGCATAGAAAGGAATATCCGTCCGCGTAAAGAACTTCCTTCATCAATATATTATCTGGCAGATACTGCTATTTCTAAGTAACTAGATAGAAAATGTAAAATAAATGAAAATTTTTTTTTGCGGCTGTACGCATCAAAGTGATATCACTTTCTCTTACTACGAACAAAATACCTCAAATTTCAAAATTCTCCAATGGTTCCAGAAATATCTGTTACATTTTATTTCTTTTTACGTAACTTGTCTCGTAATTATTAATTGTAGAACAGGTACCAAGAACACGTAAAGTCAAATCAGCGTTAGACACTTTAAACTTAACCATTTTGATCATAGGTGGCATAGAGTTAAAATTCTATATTATAATTTGTAAATCTTTACTTGCTCGTGACCTTGTACATTATGTACATAAAGGTAAAGAAAGTCAGCACAATCGAATACACAAAATACTTAAGATGTCCCACGGGCTCAACACATTTGTAATACTGACTAGGTAACCTATCACAAACTCGAATTTTTTTTCCGAAATAACGTTTGTTCGAATTTTCATTACATTGAAAACAGAATTATAACGAAACTGTTGTTCTTTCAGGATATGTTGGATGTTTGTCGATTAAGTTAGGTTAAATTAGGTTTATGAGAAAAAACATTTTCCTCTCAATATTATTACTTTCGAGGTTATGAAAATTCGAGCAGACGTTATTTTTGGAAAATATCATTTCGGGCTACTGATAGGTAACCCCTAACTATGAGTCGTATGCTATCGCAAATGTCTATAAACAACGAAAACCATTATCCAACAAATAGATTTTCAGTTGGTTTGCGTATCTTAAAAAGTATTTATTCAGTACCTCGTCATTTAATTTATCTTCAAGCGAATGCATAATAAACTTTGCATTTCAACTTGTTTATCGAAAACCGATCATTGTCATTCGCTTTATAAAATAATAAAAAAATAGAGCGACACATGATAGACGATACAGAGATAAAATTCGTAATCCGTTCCGCGTATTGAATATCGAAAGTCGAGAAACGTGCACACGAATTTTTTTTTCTATTTTTGGATCCAGGTACAGTCAGCCAATTTTAATATTATGTACGATGTGAATTTACTATCGAAATATAATCTATAATTGATAAATATAAAAATAATCTTCAGATGTCTATTAAAACACTATTAACATTTTACCATTAAACACTTGCCGTGAATTTGAAAGAAAGTTGATGATTTCAATGAATATATTTCATGAAACAAATTTTATTTTCTCACGCGTGTCGATTTCGCCACGGGCGACTGTTTAATGAGTATTACCAACAAGTAATTTTTAAAAAACATTCGATCTCTATTTAAATCGAGATGTAGAGTTTTAAATGATTTTTCTCTCTCTCGGAAAGACAAATCAAAATAGGTCACCCCAATCATATTAAATTGATTTTTTCTAATTTTTTGAACATAAATAAATATTAATCAGAATAAATTTATTAAACTTCCATTATTTAGCTAAATTACACTTGGCAGGATTTAAATGTTTAAGCCGTATGTTGCCATCTGTGGACGAGTAGACTAACAATTACTGGACGAGGCTAAGTAATTACGCTATTTGACAACAGATGGCGGAAGAATTAACACTTTTATTAAAGTGGTTTAAAATATTTTTATAAAAACAAACTACAATTTTCTTTTTTTATACATATTTTATAAAAATGTTAAATTTTCAGCAAAATTTTTTTTTAGAATAAATAAGAAGTAAATCGGGACTGCAGAACCGTGACCGTACTTTTAGACAAATAACAATCCATAATTATTTGTCACTAACTTCATAAACGTAACAGTAAACTGTCAACGTCAATGTCAAAGTTACGTTTGATGTGTTGACTTGGTTTTACAGTTTGTGGTTTGTGTTGATTAGGAAAAAAATCACTTTTCATTTACGGTTTTTTTTGTACATATTATAGCTATATTAATTTCCACCCAAATAGATTATAATTAAGTGCTTAAAAATAACAGTGAATAAAAATGTTTTTATTGCAATGTTACGTACATAACCAAACTGGGTAACCTATTAACCAACCCTACATTTTAATCTATTACGTTTAAAACTTTTATATTTATACAAAAGTTTTTTAACATGAACATGTTGTCAGCACAAATGCCAAAAAATACTATTCAGTGTCTTAGGATACTTAGGATAGCACAGAACTATCAAACTGTAAGTGCTGCTTGCTACACTACTACAGTAGATGTCCTTGACATCTTCACGAAAGAACTTTTACAACGCCACAGATGCAGGTTAAGAAATAACCCCTTAGAGGTTAAGAACCTTTCAATTAGGTACTTCATGGACTCGGAAAACTCTCAAAAGGACATTAAGAATATGACTACTGAAGAATTAGATGAAGTTGTACTTCAATATATTGCAAAGAACAAAGATACCAAAATAATAGATTTATTAAGAGATCTCATCAAGCATCATAAACATATAAGTGATATTACAGTAAAGAAGTTGTATAGAAACTATAGTATTGCTGGGAAAAGTGATATCATAGTATTGCTGCAGAAATATTCTTTTAAACTATACCCACAAATGCACAAACAAAATGGTGAATTTATGCACTATCTTGCAACAGCGCAATGTATGAGAGGGAATTCAGAAAAAGGTCTATCAATACTTGCAGATTGTTACAAAAACAATGAACAATTACGGGGTTTTTATCGACTCATTTTTAGAGAATTAATACAGGATTCTGTACTAAATAGGTCTGAAGCATCTCTAGTAATTTTCAAGAAATATGTATTGGAATTCAGTGAGAAGTTTGGTGATCATTACCCACTGATATGTTTCTGGCATTTGTGCTGGTCAAGCTCATGGTTTTCTGATCAGACTCTATCTACTGAATTGCTAGAAAATTCTGTAAAATTACAGGAGATTATTAGAGACAGGTAAGGGTTTATGTATTTTATTGCTCTATTGGTGGCGCCACCTAATCAGTGTGTAATATTTATTATGTATTATTTATATTTATTCTTTGGGGCCATATGACAAAACATTAACGCAATTGGAAATAAAAGCATTGAAAACATTACAGTTCAGAATCCTATAACACAACCCCTCAACTTTTGTCATACAATAATTACATTCCGTTTAACATGTTATGTGAGTAATGATATATGTAAATTTTGACTGATTTAATGTCGTTAAAAGTGAACCTCATCAGTCTGAGATATGTGATCCTAAAATATCTTTTTTTCTGGGTTTCTTGCAAGATGGATTCATAACTTTTTGGATTTTTGTCATTTTTTTTATGAATTATGTTGTAAGTATTACTGTAAATACATCTTATGAAACGAAAAAGGCTGACATCATAAAAACATTTTTTTTTGTTCGACATGTCTGTTATTATGTCTTCAAGGGTATTTGACATGTATTGAAAATTATGCTTTGAAAAATGTTAAATAGAGAATCAGGATTTGTGAAAAAATAGCATATATAGATAAAGAAATTTAGAAAGATACAACACTTATTCCTCATTAAGCTACAATCTAATGATTGTTTTGCTAAAACCCTCTCACAACTCGCATTATACTTTGTTGAGATGTTAAAAGACTAATTGCAGATTAGTTACCAGCTTGTTTGTGTGAGTTGATTAATGTAACAAATGATTATTAAATTCAAATTTCACACCTGCAAAACTATCCATCTTCTTACCATAGCCCATGTAGCTAGGCTTTTTTGAAATTTATTTTATTTTATTTTATTTTTTTTATTAGTTGAGTCGAAGTAGTTGAGTAACTTTTTTGAAATGAGTTTCTATATTGTCCCATTGCAGGACAAAGTGGTTTTTATAGACTGTAATTTTTCACTAAAAATATACATGAAAAGATCAAAATAGTATTCAATTAAATCTATGACACCAACCAATTTTTTTAATACTTTTTTTGTTCTTTTTTACTCATTTGAATAAATCAGTTCAATATCTGTCTTCTTTCACCAACTTAACAAAAATACCTATAGTATACCAGTACCTATAGTACACCAGGTAAACACTAAAATATCTCTTATAAATTTCCAGGGCTACAGCATTCAGCATCACAATCTTACGGGAGGAGTTCAACGAAGATGCGGTTCTTCGATTACTTCAGACACTTCTCAAGTATGATATGATAGAGGAGTACGGAAAGGTCTTGCAGGTTCTGTTTAGTTATAAAAGTAAGTATATAAGGGAGGTTAAGAACTGTCTTTACAGTGAACAAAAATTTATTTGTTAACATCTTAACATCTGTAACTCATCTATATTCGAAATTGTAAAACAAACAAGCTTAAAACAAAATTGCAGTCTTCATTAGGTCATATCGTATCGACGGCATGTGTGTAAAGGTTGTTTGTTTGTTGTGAAAAGATCCAGATACCAGTTGGAAAAAAAAACAATATCAAAAACATTAAACTATTAAAACTGTAGAAATAGTTAGATGAATACATATTTCGTTTTACAATACCTATAAAATGGATGGAACAGCCGATATATAGTGCTCCTTAACTCTCATTTTGAAAATTGCTAAGGATTTACTATCATGAACGATAATGGAAAGTGCATTAAAATATCTGACCGCACAAACACTGAAGGAGTGAGAGTAAAATACGGAATTAAATAATGGGAAAGATAACTGGGACCGAACGAGAGAGCGACAAGGGTAATTGACAAGTATTGATGTTTATTAACAAGTAACATCACATGTTTGTAGGACAAAGAAAGGACTGAAAATAAATATACTAATGATAAAAAGTGACGGGATGAACAAGTGCAGTTTCAGTGCCACTCAGAGGTTTAAATCACAATGATGTTATGGGCACTGCCACAGCGCCCGTTCTTAAGTTGACAAGTCCCATGTGCCTGTAATTTCCCAGCACCTTTAGCCTTCAAAACTTGAACACAGCAAGCGCTCAACTTACTTCTTGGCGGCAGAAATAGGTAATGTCGCAGTACTTCCCTGGACGAACTATTTCGCAAAGAGCCTAACCTATTAAAATTAATGTTACACTAAAATACATTGGAATGTGTATGTATGTAGATGGATACATGTGTCATACAGTGAATGCTACAATATCGGCATGTATTTGATGTTTAAAAATTGCGCGCATTGAAACACTTCAAAGGTTACCTCGTTCGGTTCTAGGCTAAACGTGCACGTGAGACTCCAAGGCAATTTCAGACTGAGGCCTTCAAAGAGTTCATTGTTGTTTTTGAATTTTCATTTTTTAAAGTTACTTGTCACAATAGGGAGGGATCTCTTTCGTATTAGGTACTCCAAGCATTTGCCAGTAAGCCGCTCTATTGTTACATCACTGTTAATAGGATTACACGAAAAAGAAACTGAAAAACTTGTTTGTGGTGCGGTTCACACTTTAATGGTCCTTACAAGCTATACTAATGTTTTAACTACATTATGTATGCCACATACTAATGTTTTAGCTACAGTTTTTAGTTGATTGAAAACAGATTACAATAAAATTTTCAGCACGTTCATTCTGAATCAATTAAAAATTTTAATTAGGGTCAGGTGGGGTAAGAGGAACATCGGGGAAAGAGGGACGTGAAGCCTTAACTCCTAAAAAGTTTAGCACTGTATCTCATTCTGTAAAACAGACAAACAAATTAGTTTAAACAATTTTAAAGAGATCTCGCTACGATACTCCAAATCCAAAAGGCGAAAAAAAAAACTAATTTGACAGTTGTGAAATCTTGAGAACACGAGATATACGTTACTCCATTTTTTTGGGAAAGAGATAGGTTAGCACAATTTGCACGTTTTCGGCAAATACATCGTAAGTATTGTATTTAGCGTATTATCACGATTGTTAAAACATGTACCTAAAACTGATAGGCAAGGCAAGTTTAGTGTACTTAGAAATTCTTATAAGAATTTATCAGTTCTTCATAGAGCTTAAAACATTTTACTCAAAATAAGGCAGGTTCCTTTTACCACACGTAACAATAAGTTTAATTTAGTAAAAAATATGTATTTTACGAATTGTGTGCAGCGTAAATTGGAATGTTCTTGGATAGACTAAAAATAAGATATTTAAATTAATAAAAAAATATTAACTTTTGTAACTATACTCCAAAATAGGGTTGTTTGCATTATTGCAAACATTAGCTATAACCGACCCCGAGAACGTACTTGAGAAATGAACTTTTCTGAATTGGTTGGCAACGCCTTCAATTGGCGTTTATTCCACCAGGCTATAGTTTATGTTAGAGCTCGTAATTTTGTTTGAACCTTCCCAAAATGCAATTCGTGGTACGCCAAAGCCGCATCAACCTTAGCGGCGCCCATAAACAATGACATTACATTACAATTGTCCTGTACCATTATACCTACTTACTATAGCATCTACCCTTCATGACTTGAAATAAATTACACATTATTGTTATTATTATAATATTGGAAATGAAACTATTTTTTCGGAACCAAGTCGTTTATATTTGTTTTTTCAAACAAATATATATACGTAACAGATTAATAACAGATACATAGGTAGTTGATGACTTTACAACTCATCTGTGGCCATGGGATCGTAAAGGGCCCGAAACGTTGGTTTGTTTGAAAAAATAAACAAATATTCTCGATTTCGATCCGAAATACAGTCTTAATTCTAATACAATTCCAAAAACATATATGACCAATTCTTTTTTTATGAGCTACAGTGGGCAGATATAAAATCCAAATTTATAGATATAAAATCCACGTCCTAATGGCTTATTGACATAGTGCCATATTTGTTGACCTATACGATAAAGGACTTCAACGCATTACAATCAGAGACTCAATTCCATGTCGTAATATTATTTGAAATAGATACGTAAATGTCGTGTGTTTAAAATTGAAATATATCATTATCAACAGTCATCGCACGTGATTTTATTAATTAGTAATCCACACGGTCTTAGTAATTATTTTGTAATGTTATTCTGTGATCTGCGGTGGCCACTGTGTTCTTAAATCGACGTCGCATCCAGGGTCATAAGTCTCCTAATTTCCTTGACGCAACTGGTTATTGGAATTCCATTGAGGTTCTACTGACATTTTATAATACCAAGTGACGGGACGAACAAGTCGTGCGCCTGGTGGTAAGCGAAACGCGTAATCCATAACAGTAGCAGTCCCTCTCAGAGCTTTTAATCGCAAAGATCTTAGGGGCACTGCCACTACACCCGTCACCCTGTGACATAAGTTGACAAGTCCTATTTGCCTGTAATTTCACCAGCACCCGTACCCTTCCAAACCGGAAAGCAATAATGCTCACATTACTGCTTGGCGGCAGAAATAGGTAAGGTGGCAGTAGTTCCCTGGACGAACTCTTTCAGAAGGAGCTCCACTGCTACTGAAACTGATTATATTGTAATTATTATGGCAATATTTGTTATTCTGCTAAAATCTTATTGCAATGGCTGTTGAGTTTCAACAGCGTCAGTGGAATTTCATTTATTCAATCACTAATGATTGATGGTGCCCTACTAAAACTACTATGGAAATTACTATGTGTTATTAATTGTTATCTCGTTTGATCAGCAATTTAGACTTCAAATTAAATATTTATATAATATTGTATACCACTCACTTAGGCAAGATGAAAAAATTTCAACGCCCACCATCACAAAAAAACATTAAAAACGTGTATTTTTTATATTAATATTGACACAAAAAAATCACTGAAAAAAAAATTATATATTAAATTATGTAATAATATATATATATATATAATTTAATTTATATATATATATATATATATATATACATAATATTTTATATATATATACATAATTTAATTTTAATTTTTAATTTATATATATATACATAATTGATTTTTTATGAAGATAATTTAGGTTTTTGTTTTCGAATGCGATAGCACGCCTTGGACAGCGTCAACGCCCCCCAATTGCTTCTGAGACCCCTACAGCCCCTCTAGGAGTCTTCAGCGTCCACTGAGGTAGGGACCACTTCGGGAAAGTCTGGTTTAGTCCATTATCCCCCACGCAGTCCAAAGCAGGTTGGGAACTTTACTCATTTTCCGAGGGTTGTAAACCGTCTTCGCCGTGTAGGTTTCATCACGATGTTCTCCTTTACCGAAAAGCTTATAAACTGTAAATTTCAAACGCACATATATTCCGAGAAATAAAGAGGTGGGATCCCGGATTCGAACCTAGAGCTTTTGCTTGACAGGCAGTGGGTCAAACCCATATTTCTTTATTGATAATTAACTTGGTACTTGGTGTCCGCAACTGGATGTCCAGGCGCCTATTTTGCGTGTAGTTGATAATTTACTTATTTATTGATTTAATTATTTATTGATAACTTATTTAGCATTACATAAAAGAAGATAATGCCCTAAATATGCGTATGTTGTATAATAAGGGTATTTATAGAGGTGTTGTTTTTATATTGTGCGCATGACACTCGTTATACACGTATTAAAATTATTCCAGTTTGGTTCTTTATGATGTTTGATGGGATTGTGTGTCTGTGTATTAAAAAAATCTGAAGTTCTGAATTCCTCTTTAATGGAAAGTTCAAAATATATACGTTTTATGTCATAGCGCTAGAAGAATAGAAACTAGATTTAACAGAACAGACGTCACGTATTTTTCGGCTGAATTCGAATGTAAAATAAGTATAGGCTGTAAAATAAATAATATCGACGGTACGGACAAAACTAGTACCACCATTTCCTGATCTCAAGTAACTGTATGATTCGCGTTAAGGATGCAGTCAAAGCCATGTTCTTGTAAAGTTTGAAATTCTGCATTTTGTAAATTAAGAAAATATATAAATAAAGCTAAATTATGGACAATGTCAAGAGGACGTAACTCTCTATACCGCTAATGATAAAAGCGGTCCAAAGTGTAAAAAACTTGATGTGATCTTGACTACTTATACTTTGTAACGTGCATGAATGTACCAGCAACGTACTTTGAGATAATGGATTTCGTGTATTTCCAAACTTCTTCCACACCGCTTCACCACCTCACCATCTCACCACTTCCAAACTTTTCAGGTATAAATAAATAGTTTAGGTTTATAAAAATTAATTTCACGACAAATTTTTTTATAGCCTGTATCGTGGGTGCCATGGACGCATACATAGACAGCCACAAATTACTTCCAAACTCACGAGAGAAATAAATGTAAGCCATATAAATATTTCTTCCGGCCCTGGAATTGAACCCGGGACCGCTGTGTGGCAGATCGGCATGGTTATCGTTCGGCCACGTCGGCAGTTAAAATTTAATTTTCCTATATACTTAGGATTAAAACGCTTATTACACTACCCGATTTCAAGGGCCCTGTGTCAATGTTGGGCGTGGCCTCTAGTTCGGGCGCTTGTTAATTTATATGTAATTCGCTCAAATTAGGGGCCCTAAATATCTAATATCTTCTCTTTTCTCCCTAAGTTAGACTTAGGGTCCCTTGAAATTGTAAGTGTACTAAACGTTTTACAAATTCGGAATTTGCGTATTCCTGTTAATTATTAGCTTAAAAATATACGATATAGCATGTACTCACCTCTCGCATCTCAATAAATACCATTTGGAGATATACTAATATCTCCATCCGCTGCTGCAAGAAGCAGTCCTTTAGTATTTCTGCCAGCTTACCTATTTCTATTAGCAGTAGAGCTCCTTGCAGTACCTCACTAGACAGGGAAGTACTGCCACCTTACCTATTTCTGCCACCAAGCAGTAATGTAAGCATTGCGTTCCGGTTTTCAAGGGTAGGGGTGCTGATGAAATTACAGGCACATGGGACTTATCAGCTATGTCTTAGGGTGACGGGCACAGTGGCACTGCCACTCCGATCTTTGCGTTTTAATGTTCTGAGTGGCACTGCAACTGTTATGGACAGGTGTGTCGCTTATTAACAGGTCCACGATTTATCCCATTACTTGGTATCATAAAAAAATCTGTCAATTTTTTAAATGATATTTGTAACAAACTCCTTCGTGACAACTTCTTTTGCAACAAAACAAATTAAAGCTTATAATTTATTCTTCTTTTTTACAGTAAGAATTCGAGATATAAGAGGCTGTACAGAAATCATCCGAAACTGCGAAACATTAGGCATCGCACTGCCATCAAACCAACAAAAAAGATTTATAAAAATGCTTATTAATGGCAAACATGGACCTGATAGTAAACCTGCTAAGCCGTCACTCAAGAACTTCAAATTGAAGTTTTAGTGTAGAAATTGTGTTTTTATTTATGAATATGGTGTGAGTCCGAAGGAAAGGGCTGCAATATTTTTAAGGGATACCCATGAATAACAACAACGCTTCAAAGGACTTGCCATAGTAACCCCTCTGAATTCATGGAAATAAATTACGAATTCCCAGGCGAGGTGCAACCTTTGCCGCGAAAGAGTATTAAAACCTGTGTTCCGTCTTCTGAGAGTCTTCATCCTCGACACGAATTGCCATGGCCGATCTGGAAGTCTATAATTAAGCTTCGGATTTTCGGATTTCTAACCTGAATGGTTTGTGCGGTGCGATTCAAACTATGGCCCATCTCATATCGTGTCCTGCATGCCCTAATACTTGCACGCTTGAGGATTTAATGGCGGCTACTAGTGAAGCGGTCTGCGTGGCTGAGTTCTGGGCCACAATAGCACCTATAGTGTATGTCATCAATACGATAAGAAGAATAATTATATATTCCATACATACATTCGGATCGAGTCCATTAAGTATGGAACATTTCACCTTTCCATCGGTCGCTGCAGAGACTATAAATGGGGATTCAGGGAATCTAAGCCAATGTGACTGCGGTGCTTCAACACAGTTCATGCAGCATTGGTTTGCCCTCGTGCCCAAACACCTGTATTCTGGAGAGTGTCAATGCACTCAAAGACTGTGCAATCAAGGTGGCAACATAATACTCAGACTCATATAATCCTAAATAAAGAATATCATGTGGTAAGAACCTTGTTTTTTATCAAATGTAGTAAAGAATATACTTTTTTTTTAAATTGCATTGTTGTTTAATTTTTTGCATAGCAACAAAGAGTAAATCAATCGTAGATTTTTTATTTTGACGATCTTGGTTAGGATCGTGGTTGCTATAGTTCATTTCATATAGCATGGGTACAGTGACATTTGAGATTTGAAGTATCTGGAAATTAGTGATGTAAAATCGAAGAAAAAAATAATGATTTATATATCTTATCAAGATAATTTGTAACGAAGAGAGAATCGATTTAGAGATAATAATTTAAGAACAAATAATAAATAAAATAAAAAGGATTCATATATTATGTCATTAATTTACTAAAAAACTACATAACAGATATAATCAACAACAACCAAACAAAAAGGCGACAACAATATAATCAACAACAACGAAACTAAATTTGAACAATTACTCCAACAACAATTTGATAAAACAGACCTTTAATATTAAGTTTATTGAATATCACGATGTTTTACTACATTTAATTATTTTTTGTAAAATTACTCCTCTAGTTTGTTATAATTGCTAATACAATAATCAAACACAAAGAAAAATTCCTTTGAACTTGAATTTGTTTTGGTCTGGGTCACTAGATGTCCTGGGTAGTTGTATAGTGTCCCGGAATTAATTTTCTTGTTATAGTACTCCCATCCCTATTCCCTAGTTTGATTTTTATTAGTACAATTATAGAGCACATTATATTATTTAAATAGGACTTGCGCTAAGGAGTGGGTTCTTTGTTTGAACTATTATTTTCATTGTATACACAGGTGTAACAAAAAGAGTGATAATATTTTACATCTAGTGCTCACTTTTGATTGCAAAAAATTTTGGACATAAGTTTTGTTTCGCGTAATGTGGATCCGATAAATACATTTTGTACACGGTACCAAATTTTATTCTTCACAGTTATTTTTTTTTATACACATCGTAGGTAAATGTTTAAAGTTGTGTGCTCTGTATTAGTGCAACGTCAGAATTCGTATTCAAGAATAAAGGTACAAATTTTAACAGCATCCATGTTTGAATTTAAATCGTATTCAAAATTCACCCCAACGAAATCAAATAACTTACGCCAAAATTTAATATTTAGATTTTAAATTGTATGGGAATAATATAAGTTTTTAATTTAGTATTACACTAAAAAGATGAGTGGCACGCAACTAGAGTACGCATGAGACGTACAGGGAACTTTGATATTAATTTGAATTCCGATGAGGTAAGTGTGAAAGCCATGTTTTATGGAGACAGCACAGTTCAGACAACCACAACCTCCTTTATAGGCTTTAAAGATTAAACTTCTGCAGTCTGTCATTTGTCAAGTCTGTATTTAACAAGTTGATATAGTTTCTTTGTGCTTGGCCAATGGCTACCGTTTGGCGTACAAAGATATTGAAAAAGCTATACCCAGCTATAGTCCATTTGTTTAGGTACTTAACTAAATGTAAACAATCTT